CAGCTGTCAATAGACAACGCTTCGTATAGATGGCGCCACCGTAAACAACGTACTGTGTGATCCTCTCTCTATGACGCTCCACGTAGTGCGCCAGGGGTTCAAACAGCTGGACGATGTCTTTGGCGGAATGTTTGCCCTCCATGCCGGGAACATTGTCCGTAATGGATTTCTGAAATTTCGTGGACGAAACGTGAGCAATAAACACAATGACTGAGCAGTAAATACGTGAGCCATTTGCGTAATAACTGCGTTCAAAACTAACCTGAATCTTGTTGCAGATTTTCAGGCTGAGAATGGTGGCCAGGGCAAACGGGGAAGCCTTCATCTCCTTTGGTACACAGTCTTTCTCTAGTGCTGTGCATTGCTGATCCAGTTCGGGTTGGCGAGCCACATGATCGCGATAATCCCGGATGCGCTTCATCAGAGTGCACTCGAATTTGTGCTCCACTTTCCAGTCACGGTTCTGCAGTGAAAATAAAAATAGTCCGCTCACCAACAAAGTTCAAACGGCGGAATACGAACGCTTGAAGATTAGTCTATCTCTAGCATGTGATGCGATGAAAAACATGGAATATGAGAAGTTTGGTTGCGACTTGACATACCTGACATCGTGCACTGCAGTAACGGTGAAGTTTGCAACCGGGACAGATCTGCAGAGTTTCCTTTTTGTAGGATAATGGAAGAAAGCAACCGGCGCAATGTATTTCATAACGGTCCCACTGAAAGGTCCACACCCAGGGATCGCGTTCTAAAATAATTTCACCCGCCACCACCGTTTTGCCCTGACAGAGTTTTTTACTCATGATGCCGTTTCGAGCAGCATATTCTGTGAAACCAAATGCAGAGAGAGCGTACTTATGTAAAGAACTGCCAGTGCGTGTCCAAGTGTACAGCCTTTACGCATTTAACCCACTGAACTTGTAAGTAAAAAATTTTTTGGATGTGTGCCTTCTAGAGTGCATTGACTAGAAACATATTTGTCAGCCAACCAGGACGTGAGTACGCTGTACGTCTATAAATCAAAAGCCTATTTCAGATTGCACGGTTTGTGCTAGTTTCGGCTCCGGTTCCATGTGGAACCTTCGGTTCCGGGTTGTTTTACGTCCGTTCGCGACGTTAGCAGCTGTAACCTAGCGTCGTGCGGTGACGCGTAAAAACTATCTGCCTTACGCGGATGCTTGCAACGGCTCAGACACATCAGTGAATGGCAGGCCAGCGTATGCTGCCCGTGGATCTTTTTGAGCACTCAGACCGCCGACCGTTAGCAGGGTGGTCACGTCCTTGCGCGCACTCGACTCGATTTATTTTTTCGTTGCTGTACGTGACCAAAGTGTAACCGCACAAAGATCTGAAGCAGTTTTCATCCTGCCAACGTACTGCTTATCTGACGCCGTGCGATTCTGTGTACGGAGCCTCTACCGTATGCAATCTGAAATAGGCTAAAAAATCTATCAAAATGCATTCGCTTCTATCAAGATGCTTTCGCTGTATGCGATTCCGCTGAAGCCTGCTCGAGACTCGAGTAAATGTCGCATTGCGGCATTATTCCGGTTGTATGGTACTACTCTCTATCGGACGGTGTTAGGTGTACTCAAGGTGTTTGCTGTTTTGTGATAGCCGATTTCGCTGTTCTCAGTGCTCATTAACACCAAATCAATCCCTATAATGGAAAAAGGAAATGCTTTATAGAAATTAGAAAGAGCAGTCGAAAACCGTTATCGGCTGGGTGAATGGTGGTCAAAATACGAGTAACTGCAGTAAAACGATCTTACGGTACATCGAAGCACACTTTATAACTGCGATTACCAGCTATTTTAGGTAGTCACCATCATTTATACAAAGTAGCACCTACAGTACTTGTTGCAAAATACAATTTGTAATCATGCATAATCAATGATACTGGGCTTGTTTCCGCACCGTGTTGCACCGATCAAACGTTCTTGGGAAAGTAATCACTAGAGGAGTTTTAAGTGACTGCTTTTTAATTCTGGCCGTACGTGTACCTGGGTTTTACGCTAATAAGTTACCGCTTTTGCAATTACTGCTCATTTCACCTCAAAAATTGCCCCCTGTCAGTATCTTTATTAACACAAAAAAGATGATAATAATGTGACAATTTTTCGATAAACTGTGAGTTAACAATAATCACTCCACTGCCACACGATACGCCACTAAACCAGTGAACAACGAAGAGGCGTGAATAGTGTAGTCGTTGATGCAGTAGCCCCGCTCAAATAACTGGGACTGTGCTGACTGTCGGTAGTTATGCCCGTCCCGTAGACTGTTGTTTGGACGCCCAGGGTGCAGGCTAACGCCGTGGTTGCAGTAGCTGTAACAGTAATGTCGAAACATGGAGAATTTCCCGATGTGCTAGCCGTGATGGTAATGGGAGGCACTCCCGCGCAGAAGGTCTTCACGGTCGGTGTGTAGGTGGCTACAGAAGGAACGGCATCAGTGGATACCGCCTCGTATAACGTCAAAGTGTTTAGTTCGCAAAATGCGGCTATTGCAGTGTACGTCACCGTAACCGTTGCAGTAACGCAGGGAATGGCGGTGCTGCTTGCTCTGGAGCATGTGCGAACGGTACGGGTGGAGACCAGCGTGCTGGCACTGCAGACACTCGGTAGCGTTGTGGGGCTAGGACGAATGGTCGTGGTTACAGAGGCGCCTCCGTGTTGCCCTTTCCAGCGGACTGGACCGTATCCGGCTCCGGGGCTGTCCTCGTATGGTAGGACGTAGGGGGCGTTCTGGGGAATCTTCGGCGGATTGCGGACAAGCTGTCGGTTCGGGCTGTAGACAGGAGGGACACGACCGCCGCTCAGTTGCAGACTTGGTTGGATGTAGTACGCATCCGGTTCGCCGCGGTACGCTTTCACCATCACCACGCTCTGCAAGAAAAATTCTTCCTTACTGGTGGCTTTTACAAGCATTGCTTCTGCGTTTTCGTACATACAAGACACGTCGGTTATGGGACGATCAGACGATGGAAGGTTTGATGTTGTAAAAATGTTGATGTTTTCAGTTATTACAAAATTACATTATACCTCAGGTGAAATAAAATACCCACGTAAGCGATTGCATTAGTAAGGGTACAAAGCAAACATTATTGTTTATGAAAAGTATGCCTTCACTTAAGAAAGTGTATTTCGGAAGGAAGTAATGGTATTTTTTAGCATGATTACAGCATTTACAGTACATGAACCAGTACAGCACTTACCTGTAGCACCGGCAACTAATATGTTCGGAATTATTTTAGAATTACTAAATCGAGAAAATTTCGAAATCTATAGAAAAATAAGAATCAAAAACGAGCTTCTTTTGAAAGGGATTGCGAATTCGCAATCCTAATGTCTTGAAGCAAATCTTTAGGGAAAATAAATCATGTCTTGACGAAACGGTTTAGTTTCACAAAGGATACACTGGTACTCATCGGCATAATAATACAGCTGCACTTTATTTAGCACGCTGTTGATATAGTTTAAAATGCAAGCATTAAAAACCGCATCGTTTGTTGAATAAAAGCAATTATAGCTGGATGCTATAATTCATAATATTTTTTTGTATGGATTTTAATTATGTGCATGAGACATGTTTGAATTGCACGTAATATTTGAGCGTTGTACCTATGTCCCTATGGCTTACCAGAAACAGGCATACGACCACATTTGTCAAGTTCAAAGCAAGGATCATTTTGCAACACATCGAATTATTACACGATTAAATTCGAAAAATTTTAGAATCTTAATGAGACGCGCAACTTGTGTGCCGATAAAAAGCGAAACGTAGAATGTTTTTTGCCACTTGAACGCATGGATGGAGCATATGCAACGATTAAGATAATTTTTACAGGAAATTATTACAAGCATGACAAACGATTGCATAAAGTACCGCTGTTAAACGACTAACTCTTACGGTAATACTTGGCCAACGGACGACAAAAAGGGGACCAGTGGCAGCTGTAACAAGTACAAAACATTACAAAAAAGCCCAAAAAAGAGCAACGCACAGGGAAAATAATGTAGGCCTTTATCCCGTTCTTTTTTTAATATTAGCTGTTTTCTTCCAAAGAAAAGCAGGACATGAGCAGTACTCAGATCGCTGATTGTGCTCGTATATTATCCGAGGTGCATCGTTCGTGGGATTTCGATCAAGTCATGGTGTCGTAATGTGCATACTGCAGCATACACATGCTTGTATAAACGTATTCCAAATAGCGCCCATTCGACATATTATTTTTTTCGACATATTTTTTCGCCCATATTATTTTAAAGCTGTTGCTACATAACTGCAGCAACGGCGCTTTAGACTGATTGGCTTCAGCTGCGGACAGCTAACATATCGAGTTGTTTTCTTGCAGAAATGGCGACTAACGGTTACGTATTAATACCACTGCGAGCCTAATATTATAATTAACGACAAGTCATTAAGCAATATCCATACTCCAAATTTTCTGGAAGGAAGGTCGCTGGTACATACATGCCAGACGAACATTTACTGCTTAAATGCGGTAACTCTACAGCATGGAATTCATGGGTACAGTACCAAATATTAAGTTCAGCACTAAATTTACGCTACGCTCGAAAGCAAGGTGCACCACGCCTCGCTTTACAAGTTGCAATTAAGACTTTTTAAAAAAAAAAACAATTTAATTCTTTTGATCGACTTTCAAGCAGATTTCGTGGCAGGCATTCGCTTTTTGTACTGACTGCGAACATCGGATGCACTGGCTTTGAAGCGTGCCGGCGTTAAGCGCTGCTAAAATCTGCGGTAATTAACTACGCAGCTGAATTAAAAAGGTTTCTTGTTACTGGGAAAATTAAGCTAGCACTTTTTGAAAATATCACAAGTATTCTTGAGTCTGAAGGTCAGGACCGTCCGTCTTCCGTGCTCCATCCCATCGACGTTGAAACAATAAAGCACGCCTTCCATTCTGTACGCATTTTGGAAAAAGTGGTTGTAAAGAACTGTTTTACTTGCTTCTGAAATAACGGTTAGGCATCTGCGTATCAGTGTAAAATTAAAGAAGCAAGTTCTATTAGACCACGAGAAAAAAAATTCAATAACATTGAAACGATTTATCCACGGTGAGAAACATGGTGTTAAGTGTTAACCACACTACGAAGACCTTGCTAAAGGACTGAACAATGTTCAGTCGTTCGCATATTTCACTGCCCGTAGAACGTCCTTCGCTTCGCGGATCTTCAGCTCCATACACATAGCGAACTTGCACAGCTGGCCGAATAACTTCAGGTTAATCTCCGACGACTCTTGTAAATACTCGATTCCATGTCCGAGAACTTCAGTGATGAGGCTAGCTGTCAATTTGGAGACACCCCGTGGATAATTCATCATACGATGCACCCACTTAACCGCAAAGTCCCCAGCAAAACCCAGAAACTGCGCCCGGATCACATGATATTTGGGGAAGATATGTCTGAAAACAAAAAATTAAAAGCTGGCTTAATTAAGCCAAAAACGCGTTGATGCGTCAATTATACCTACCGGATGCACAGCATACAGTCCTGATACAGCGCCCAGGCTTCCTCGAAGCGGTTCTGTTCTTCGTAGACGTCTGTCACGATCCAGCCGCAGACCATGCGCAGAAGGGCTCCCGGATGCAGGATGTCCAGTTTGTTCAGTTCTTCGATAAGGTAAGCTTTCATATGCATAACCAGTCCGGGCAGGGTATCGTGGTCCGTTAGGTCGGCGGTGAGGGCCAACTGGAAGACCGGCTCGTGCTTCTTCATGAAACGGCGCAACGCCCGCAGCCGCGGTTCGTTAATAGCGCCACACTGTGGACAGGGTAGCAGTGCGCGTTCGTCGCTCGGTATGCGCTCTGGGCAGTAGTTAGTGATACATTTCAGCGGATTAATTTCGGCATCCTGCAAAGATACGCAGTCGTGATGTTAGTAGGGCATTTATTGTACACACAAACTAAATTATTTTAGAAAGAAACCAAAAAAAGCTATGTCAAAGCATCTTTTGTTCTTAAAGAAAGCTTTTGTTAACAAAACGGAATTTTCTAGTTTTAAAACATTTATCGGACTTCGTATTTAGTTATTAAACTTTTCTATTTATTAAAGTGCTTTTTAAAGTCTACTACTTACAGCTTATTTGGATTTTTGTGCTGCTCGTTACTGTAATAAATACTTCACTTGGAATTTTTGTCTTAAATATGAACACTGGTTAAAAATTTTATGTGCAGCGCTTAATATGAACACTGGTTAAAAATTTTATGTGCAGCGCTTCCTTATAAATTTACCAACAAATCCAACCTGAGGTGCGACTTGTAGTGGCGTCTTTATGAAATTATTGTCAAATGATTATTGTCAACAAATTTGTTGAAAATAACCTAGTAAACTGTGCAAAATTATTCAAGTATCAAAACTTACATATTCCGGTGTGCATTTGCGGCAACCGCACACGCGCCTGTGCTTCCTTTGAAAGTACTCGCGGCGCTGTTTAGCCGGCAGCAGGAATTCGAACGACATGGAGTCGCACCATTTTATCTGAAAGGGAAGTTTGAAAATAATGCGCCATGAAGAAACGAACACATGAAGTAAAAAATCGTACATCTGTCAACCCGCTGTAGCCAGGAATATCATCCAGAGCCACCACACGCATTGTTTTGCCCGGGAAGACCACCATGGCGTTGTAGTCCAGGCACACCAGCGTCCCGTCGTTATCTCCGATTCCCAAGAACAATGCACTGCCGTAGATGCTCGGACCCTTGCCTTCGCTGTTGTAGTCGGCGAGCGGAAACATGTTCTTCATGACGCGCAGTTGGATGTCCTCGAGATCCATTTCCGCAGGTCGATCCGCCGCTTTCGGATACACCGCCGCCAAGAGGCCCTGGTAGAAGGGCTTTCTCAAGAACCTAACAATACACGCAAGTCGAACCGTAATATAATTGTTGCACAAAAATGCAGCTGCCAAATAAATCAAGTGGCGCCAACGATGTGGGTTTTCGGAACAGCGGATATGATCTTACCTACTGAACGGCCCGCACTTTGACAAACACTCTGAATTTACCAGAGATTTCGTAATGCCTATAGGCCAAGGGCGCGCACTGAGCATTAGACGGTACGGCATACGACTTACTCCGTGATTTTTTTCCCCTTCAAAAACAGATTAGTGTCGAACGACATTAGGATTTCTTTGGCTGATCGCTTGCCATTCAGTCCCGGAAAACGGTCCATGACGGATTTCTACACATAAAGCAGATAAATGTAAAATGAAGTGCCAGAAAATTCACATATCACTGGAAGTCTGGAATGAAGTGATATTGTAGCGTTAAGAAATTAGAATGTATGAGTACCCCCAGCAGGAGTATTAACTGACTCTCTTCTCTGTTTGTTGGATGTTGTGTTAATTAAGATCAGAATTTCAATTTTCATACATTTAAAGGTTTTTACCAATTGCAGCTCACGATCAGAATCCTCTTGAAATTAGTCTTGCTGTAATTAGCTCAAAATCCGGCTAATTAATTCTTGCTCCGGATATTCTACGCCTTCTGCGTTTCATGCCCGGCGCGCATGCGTCTCTTGCTTATCAGTTTCTTAGAAATTGCATTATCTACTCGATACTTCTATCCTTACTAAAATCTTGTAGTGCCTGAACCTTACGTTGCTTAACCGCCATGGGATGATGGTGCATCCCATCCGTTGTCACCCGTGTACATGTTCATTAGCTTCCGGTCAGCTTCGATGCCGACCGGGCCAGCCCTCTCCGCACTAAAAGCCGGCAGATGGTCGTAAGAGCATTTGCTTGAGAATTTCTGCTCGCAATTTTGCTACCATAACCAACCCACTGGAGCAGCATACTTTTCTAACACCGTACGTTATTGAAATAATAATCAATAATATTTTATTGGACTCAGCAGTAAATATTACCGTAATAATCGAATTGTACAACCACCACCCCCCCCCCGCACCGCAACTGCAAGCCCCTTATAGATAAGTAAAGCCCTGCAGAAGATCGAAAATTATTGCAACTATATTAAATCTTTCCACGAGCAATTTTCAGACTTTAAAAACTCATTCATTTTCTGTCGCCCAAGAGTTACTTCGAAATACTGGCGCCATCACCGTGAAGGGCTTTTCAAATATTTGTGACCCAGAGCTACTAAATCGATAATTTTGCATGACTACACCGGCGAGATAATAAAGATCGCTAACGCTACGTATCACCTGCATCTTGTTGTGGATCTTGAGCGTCAGAATGGTGGCGACGAAAAACGAATCGTCTGGTTTGCGCGCTGCCTGCTGTCGGTAATCGGTGATGCGCTTCATCAGTGTGCACTCCGATTGATGCTCCAACTTCCAGTCAGCAGTCTGCGAACAACAGTACAACGGTTAGCAAAAATTTATCCTTCACAACATGAACTGAGTCACTCGGAAGTCTGAACCACCCTTAATCATAATGGTGGCCGAAATGAATTTACGCGGTTGAAAACCAGACCAAAGCCTTTTCTGAGTCCGCACGAAGCGCTGCTGATTATTCTCGCATGCGCATACGGTTATGAATTATGACTGAAAAATCAAAGGCGATTTCGAAATAATTCGAAATTGTTCTTTATTTTGTCATTTCGTAGACAAATTAGCACAAATCATGGGTGCTTTTGTAGTTTTACTTTTAAATGAATCAATTCTGATCACGCTATAAGCTATTTGAGTTAATCCGAGATTTTCCCGACTGAGAATGACTTCGATTAAATTTTATTTTATTTAAAAACTACAAAACTTCCCCTTTCGAACGGTTTCAAACGCACAAAGTTCCGCTCGATTTTGAAATGATTTTATTTTGAAGAATGAAATATTTGAAAATTTGATTCCAACCCTCCTTGCAATGCAATCGAAGAGCCAAGCGCAAAGCTCTCGGCGAGCCATCGCACCGCTTGTTACGGTTCGCGAATACTATTTCAGCGCTTCATCTTCAATCGTTTAAAAATACCTGACAGCGTTGACTGCAGTAGCGATGAATTTGGCATCCCAGACAGGGCAGTACGTCTGGCGACCTCAGAGATAACGGATGGAAACACCCAGCGCAGTACTCCTTGTAACTGTCCCACTGGAAGACCCAAACCCAGGGATCACGCTCCATGATCACATCGCCGGCCGCCACCACTTTATCCTCGCGCGATTTCCCGTTCATCGTACCGCTTTGTTAGATGGGATTGGGAAATTGGGAGAGTCGGTCAACGGCCACCACCAAGAAGAATGCAATCTCGGGCTAACAATTTACTGGATATTTCCGAAAAATGAAGAACTCGCGGCCCAACATACACGGTCCATGCAAATCGCAAAAGTAACTCACAAATGAGTATGGCTAGCTGTTGGGCGAAATTTGATTCTAAACCTATTGCGTGTAGTATCCGTGTGCGTTGTTCTAAAGCACAAAACTCCTATCAGGCAACTGAGGCAAGTGAACTCTGGCATCGACGATTCGACAGCGCCGCAGCGGGCATGTTTCATCGTCCGCACGTCTTGGAATACGAACGGAACCCAGCCCACAAGGCGGCTGTCCGTTACAGCTAGACGCTAGTCAGCAACTATTGTAAGTACTAGTACTTCATACATTTCTTTTCCTTTATAGTGCTTTGCCGGGTTTTTTCAAGTATGAGAACGCTTCTTTGACCTTATTATTTTGTAAAGATGAGTTGTAATGTCCCTTCTCACCCTTACGAAGAAATAAAATCCCTGGGCCACTAATTAGTAAAACACGAAAACTGCGTACTCGTACCAAATGCACTCGTACGAAATGTGAGCATAGTGCAGGGTTGAAAGGAATTCTTGTTCCGAACCTCAGAACCTGCCTCAACTGTAGTTGCGCTATTCAAAACGATATCCAAAAACCATTTTTATTGTTCGCCCAGGTTTCGTGTTAAAGAACAGTATTATGAAAATTTAATGGAGAACGTTAGCCATACAGTACGAGTTGGTGCAGTATCAGAAGGTAACACACATTAATACAAACATTTCTGAACAAGTCTTCAACTGGAGTCTAAGGCAACGTAAACAGTTTCTCTTAAAAAATGTTATACCAGAACACAGCTCAGCAAAACCTTCGCCTGTCCCGTGCCAGTTTAAGGGCGCAGGTGCACTCAAAATTTACTCATTATCATGTTCCACTGTCCGTAAAATTTCCTGCGCTTCGCAGATTCTCATCTCTCCACCGAGTGCGAACAAACACGCCCGTCCGAATAACTTAAAGTAGATGTTTGCCGACTCCTTCAGATAACCGCTACCCCATTCGACGAGTTCACGGATGAGGGCGGTCGTTGTAACAGACTTCTTCGGAGGATCGTTCGCCATTCGTTCTGCCCAGGTAATCGCAAACTGGCCAGCAAAAGCTAGAAACTGGGCTCGGACAACATGGTACTTGGGGAAGATTTGTCTGTAACAGTACAAACACGTGCAATGTAACAAAAAATGAAAGCGGAAACCACTGGCCAGTCGGTTCCGGGTTAACTGTACTGGAACCCTGCACACAATGAGTGAAATTTTCGATGGTTCAAACTCGCGTACATACGTTGTACGAGGCTACAAGCTCGATTCGGTTCACAGACACGGCTTGCACCGGCATGTACATAGAGTACGGCCTACCGGTTTCAAGGATGCTGGGTTGTAGCGCATCATACGCAAACGAACGCTTGCCTGTTCGATCCTTTTGCTGTCGATTTATGCGTACCGGAAATTTATTTTGCACACTGTTTTTTTTCGATTTTAATATTACTCTGCGAACACCCTTTGCTCTCATACAGCGTGAACGGAAAGATGGTGTAGCTAGACTTTTTTTAACAGAATACGTACTTGATTGAGAGAAGTGCCCTAATGCGCATATACCTACCGGGTGCATAGCATACAGTCCTGATACAGCGTCCAAGCTTCCTCAAAGCGCTTCTGCTCTTCGTACACATCCGTCACAATCCAACCGCACACCATGCGCAAATGCGCTCCCGGTTGTAGGATGTCCAGCTTATTCAGCTCTTCGATAATGGCCATTTTCTGATGCTTTAAACCTCCTTGCGACGGCTGCGTTCCCAACTGCATGGCAGTATCCCGCTTGAAATCCGTTTCATGCTTTTCCATGAAACGGCGCAGCGCTTGCAGACGGGGTTCATTAAGGGCGCCACACTGTGCACACGGCAACAGGGCGCGTTCGTCACTCGGGATGCGCTCTGGGCAGCCTTGGCTGACACATTTCAGCGGGTTGATTTCCGCATCCTCCACAAATAACAGTTAATTAGTTACAAAAGTGCGAAGTAATTTATTTGATTGCAATGGTGAGTGAAAACAGATCATTTTCATTCATCTGTTTACTCTTCAATAAATTATATAATTTTTCACGAAATCCGAATTCAAAACGAGAGCAGTTTGTTCTGGATGAAGTGATGCTGCAATCGAACATTTACTTTAATTTGGCGAACAACTTCATGACTTATTTTTCAAAAAAAATTCAGTATCGAACAAGGAAGAAGGAACACCGGAATTTCAACGCCGAAAATTCTTACAAATTGGTCCGTGCATTTGCGACAACCGCATTCGCGTCCGTACTTTTGTTGGAAATATTCGCGCCGCTGTTTCACAGGGTGCATCATGTCATGCGAAGAAGGTTCGAACAAGCGTATCTGTGAAAGCAGAGCGAATACTAATAGCGCAGCAATATGAGAATGTAATTTCTCGCTGTACATCTTTCCATCCGCGGTAGTTCGGAATGTCATCGATGGCCACCAGTCGCAGCATCTTTCCCGGAAAAATGGCCATGGTGTTGTAATCCAAACACACCGTCAGGGACTGGCTTTTTTTCATAGCCAAAAACACTCCAGCACCATACTGTTGCGGACCGGTACCCTCACGGTTATGGTCCCACACTGGATGGACGTTCTGCGAGACGCGTATCAAGATATCAGCGCATTCTTCTTCAGTTGGTCGATCGGCATCCTTCGCATATATGGCCAATAGGAAGTTTTTAAAAGTCACGGATTTCGTAAACCTGATACAAAGATCAAAGTTCACAGAAATGAATTAATTGGTGACCTTTCATAACAAAAACTTCGCTTATACTTAATTGTGAAGCATAAACAGTAATAAACTCAGAAAAAAAAATGAACTACAGACGATGTATAGCAAAACCGGGTCAACCCCGTAACAAATTATACAATTTCGATTTTCAACAACTTCGATTTGGTTTGATATTTACCTGACAGCGCTGAGTGCATCGAAGCAAGTCAAAAAGCATTTTGTGTGATTAATTGCTATAAACGTAAAGCGCCGCAAAGGAGTGGTGCCGGTGAATGTATACAATAAACTGTAAACTTAAGTTGTGCAGAATTAGAGCAGAAATGAAGAATTGTCGTATTTTACGCAAAACGTGTTTTAAATACCGTGAATCCCGATATCAGCGCCCCGTCCCGAAAGGTCACGAAATAGTAGAAGCCCTCGCCCACCCCCCCCCCCCCGAATCTGTCGGCCCGGCGAGTCTAATCAGTTCCGGCGCTACGCTTTCTCCCTCTGTTGTCCACATAGTCCGAATGCCGTGAATGTTACATCTTCCTAACTTGTAAGTTAGGTAAACCTCCCTTGTGCACGACGTCTTAGCCACTAAATGCCATGACTGCCAAATTAGTCCTTTATTGTTGATAAATATGGTATATGGACTGGCGTTTCTTACAACGGATGTCGGATGGTATCATATTTCAGATGAACTTGTACATAAATTTTGCAATCGACAGCTCTACACTATGAAATTTATTTAATTTTGGAAATTCTGTATTTTTATATTTTCATGTCGTGTCATGAAAGTTATCCGTTTAAACTTATAAAATTAGTTTACTACGCATTTTATTATGTGGCACCACGGAAGTTGCATTACGTACTTGATGATTTTCTGTGCTTCACTCGTAGAGCGATCGGCGTCGAATGACTGGATAATTTCTTTGGCAGATCGCTTGCCGTCCAGTGCAGGGATCGAGTCCATAATGGACTTCTGCAAGGGGAGGGTACAAATAAGCGCGCTCAGATTTAATATATGAATATAAAAAAATGTTAATCTGTAAAATTAAATGACCTGGAAACTGTAAAGCTGTGCTTATACTTGCGCTAACCTGGATTTTGTTGTGGACTTTCAGCGTCAAAAGAACGCCTACAGCGAACACCGTATTGTCGATCTGGTGTGGTCCATGCATGGCGGGTCGATCTTGAGAAAGTTTCTCCAGCTCCGGGTGGCATACCACTTGCTGTCGATAATCGGTGAGCTGCTTCATCAATGCGCACTCGAAACTATGCTCCACTTTCCAGTCAGCATTCTGCATGGATTAATTGTATAAAAAATTAAATTACGATATATTACGCTCGAAAAAATAGACAACTTATTATTTGATAAACTTGTTTACATTTGACAACTTGTTATTTGATAAACTCGCGCCGCTCGAGAACATAGATAATTCGTCGTTAATTCAGATCACTCAGAAAAATCGAAAGGTCATTCAAAACATCACGCACCCTGCGGAGGAATCAAGCGAACCAAAATTACCTACACACCTGACACTGTTCGCTGCAGTAACGATGGGTACGACATCCTGGGCATGACAGCGGACTGTGAGATACGATCTCCAAAGGAAAGAAACATCCAGCACAGATGGTGGAATATTTGCTCCACTGGAAGGCCCACACCCATGGATCCCGTTCCAGAATGATGTCGCCGGCTGCCACGTTCATCCTGTTTCCGTATGACGGGTCGCGGAGAATACAATATTTAATCTTAAGCAGCGGTGCAAAAGCAAACCATAGAAGAAACTAAATTTATGCTTTAGTTAATTTATATTTCTCAATGAACGTCCGGTCTTGACGAAATGCCGGACACTGCAAGCCTACAGCGAAAGGTTCAGAAAGTGATCTGCCTGTCTAAGAGGGGAAAGAATGATCGCTTCGTAGAATGAGTTACCATGAATTTAGAACCATGAATAAGTTACCATAAAATTAGATAGAGATCTCGCTTACTGCTCACCGTCGGTTAAAGGACGATTTGCTTGCTAATCGATGCGAAATTTGGTAGACGCAATCATTTGAATTCTCTCTCTAGACTGGACTATTGTATTCACATCCTTGTCTTGATCTATTTGCATTCGCGCTGGCTATCCATCAGCTAAAACTGTCAAACGCTGGCAACTGCATTGATCTTGCTTTCGGTTGGCAGTTTTCTCCGGCCTGATTATATAATTTATATCAATTGACCAATCGCTCATTGTTTTAACCTCCCACGGTCCCACCTACCCTACACGTTGGCAAGCTGTCTTTAAATGTTTTCTCCTTTAAGCAGCTACAGAAAACGGCCACAAATGGGATTGGAAACTCGTCGCCGGAAGGTCCGCCTGCTCCGATTTCGATTTCGCATATGCCCAGTTATGCCGACCTGTTCGCTCTCCAAAACCCGCAACAGTGCAACACCGCAGTCGTTCCTCTCAACCGCTTCCGTCCACAACGAACAACAACACCGTAGCTTGCCGAATTTAATGCGGCGTTAGCGATGGATATGCGAAACTCTTCATTAGAGTGTTTTTTTCGCATGCTCTGTAAGGTGACAGCGGTCCGATCGTTGATACCGTACGCGTACTTACGCAGCATCGCACTTAATAATGCAATACTTGGTAGGACGTCCAAAACAAAACGTTTTTTCCATGTGATTATCGTGAGCGAGAATATTGTCACAGGTTACACAACGTTGGAATTTATTGAATGCTTTAACGAGCTATGCATACTGAAGTACAAAGTACGTATTGTGACTACAGATGTATGTGCTGCCTCGTCACAAGTGATGCGGCTGATGCCCACATTTACTTTATATAACTTCGAGACCGCACAAGAAGAGGGGCAGTTTTCTTGGTTTTTAATTGGTATGGTCTGACAAATTTTTGTTTTATATTTCGATTCAGTCGTCAAACTCTCAGCAAATTTAAATTACTAGTTTTAGTCACGCCTCTAAAATATGCGGCATGGATTCGCGACAGCGCTTTCCAGCCGTTTAGCAACTGAAATAACAACAGAGTGTGATCATGGGACGGTGAATTCAGGAGGAAGGCCGATCGATATCTTTGGCGGTGTCGGAGATTCAATCATGATCATACTTCAGTGCCCGTAACATTTCCTTCGCTTCGCGGATTTTTATCTGCCAGCAAATGGCATATCTACAGAGGTGCCCAAATAGCTTCAGGTAGATCGCCGCCGACTCGCTTAAGTAATCAATCCCCCATCCGAGAACTTCGATGATAAAGGCCTTCGTCGTTGTAGATTTTTCTCGTGGATCATCAGCCATGCGTTCCGCCCATTTTGTCGCAAATTGACCAGCAAAGGCTTGGAACTGGGCCCGAGTAACGTGATACTTGGAGAATATTTCCCTGTAGAAAAACAACTTAAAAACCCGATGCGACACGTAAGTGAGAAACCCCTTGTCGCATTGGACTTACCGGGTGCAAAGTATGCAGTTTTGATATAGATCCCAGGCTTCCCCAAAACGCTTCTGTTCTTCGTACACATCCGTCACCACCCAGCCACAGACCAATCCCAAAGGGGAACCCGGATGTAAAATGTCCAACTGGGTCAGCTCTTCGATGATGGCCACCTTTTGATGTTTTAGATTTCGGTGTAGGTGTTTGTTCGATAATAAGTCCGCGGTGACGCTCAGCTGAAACGCCGTGTCGTGCTTTTCCTTGAAGCGACGCCTAGTTTAACAGAAGTAAACGGAAACTGGAGTTTCCAATAAATAAGACATGCGTATCGAAGTCTGCGCTTTTTCATACGGCTAAAGCAGTTTTTAAGATAAAATCAAAGTTGCAACAGTGCAGAAGTACAACAAAGAATTCGTACAAACTCATCCGTGCATTTGCGGCAGCCGCAGACGCGTCCGTATTTTCGCTGGAAGTAATCTCGCCGCTGTTTCACAGGCAGCTGCGTTGCATCACATCTGGGATCGCACCACCGTGCCTACAAAAAAAGTTCGTCAGCACGAAAATGGAAAAGAAAAACGGGCAATAGTTACATCGCTCGGTCCACGGTAGTCCGGAATATCATCGATCGCTACCAATCGCAGCGTCTTTCCCGGTAAGATGGCCATGGCGTTGTAATCCAGACACACTGGCATCGAATGACTTTTCTCAATGCCCAAAAACATTCCGGTGCCGTACTGCTGCGGTCCGAGACCACCGCTGTTATGGTCCCAAACCGGATGCGCGTTGTGTAGAACGCGTAGCAGAATGTCAGCGGATTCGTCCTCCGCCGGTCGATCGGTAAGTTTCGGGTATATAGCCGTCAAGAGCCCTTTAAAGGTCTTCGATTTTATAAACCTGGGGAACAGCAGACACTGGGTTATCATTTGCATAGATCTAAAATGGAACAGCAGCCGCAGCACTGTGGCGCCGCGCTGCCGTATACCGGCTTTCTAGAGCAATACCATTCTGTCATAATTCTTAGTCTTACTGGCGTAAAAACAAGACAGAAAATGTCTTATGGAGGCAATGACATAAACACGAATCTTACTCAGGGTTTTGTTGCGCTTGGCTGGATGACCGATCAGCGTCGAATAACTGAATAATTTCCCTTGCCGATCGTTTGCCGTCCAATCCGGGAACCCGGTCCGTGATGGACTTCTGCAGGAGATGATAATACACGGTTGCGTTTGTTAGTCAAAAAGCCGGTGTTGTAAGAGTGAGCGTGGTACTAAATAAAATTTTGAACGGCTACATATATATGTATTACCTGGATTTTGTTGTGGACTTTCAGTGCCAGGATAATGGCTACGGAAAACAGTAGCGCATTGCCACCCTGTGGTTGTCCGGTATTATTGCGTGGGTCTTGGAATATTTTCTGCAGTTCTGGTTGTTGTACCAGTTGCTGCCGATAATCGGCCAGACGCTTCATTAACGTGCACTCGAATTTATGTTCCATTTTCCAATCAGTATTCTGCATAATAACAATTGCTGGTTAAAAAAAGGACAGGTCTACGCGCGGGAATACTCACGCGCGTAGCACTTTGTCTACGCGCGAGAGCTCCTGCGCGTAGTGTACGCGCGAGAGCTCTCGCCGGTAGTAAAAAGTGTACAGAATCAGCTACGCGCGATAGATTTCGTTCCTTTTTATGCGGACAGAAGAAGCAGTAATCTACGAAGCAATACTAAATTACAATTTTGATGCAGCAGCAGCACGGATATTGATTTTCAATCACAATTCAAATTTAAATAACAGTGTGTCTTCGCTTAGCCGGCAGCTTTACTGCTTTCTCCAACGCTTCGGCATCTTTTCCGGAAACGCGAATGCTTTGAAAGGTGATCACCGTCTTTGTACGGGCGTTTCGTCCCTGAGCTCTACAGTGGTGTCTACGGGCTGTCTACAGATGACTACCGGTCTATACAAGCAGTGCATCCAGCTGGATCCAGATAGGGCTGCCTGTATACAGCGGTAGACAGCCGTAGACCACCTGTATACATCATAAGAAACCAGGTGACTACCGATAGGTCTACAGGGGGTCTACAGCATCTATACAGATTTCTACTGTGACTACAAGGAGAGAAAAAACGGTTCACTTTTTTTCATTGGTACGAAACGTGCCACAGGTGAGCAGTAGATCCGTACGACGCCAGGTTTCATACAATCGTATAGCGCGCAGACATAGTGATTTACGCCGCTGAAAAGTGGCTGCGCAAAACATTGGTTATTTGGCTAGCAAAGAGCAATTTCCGCTGGCGAATCCAACCCTCCTCGCTGTGGGAAAGCTTCTCGCAAAAGATAAGTCCCAGCGACCAAACAGCCGGAGCGCCAGATCAGAGCCATAACGGTTTAGGTTTGAAATGTCTTCTTCTGCTACGGAAACGTCGTAGGTACCGGTTGGATCGTTTTGACGAAGTTGAACCAGGAACTGGATAAGAATCTCGTCCTGCCGACGTCCCTGTCGTTTTTCCTTGCGAATTTTTGTCCCTTGGTTGAATATGTCCTTTGTTATGACTGTCCCAAACATTCCCGTCGACCGACGCGTCGCGTTGATGGTGCCCGTGATGATCCAGGGCGGTACGCGATTGGTAAGGAGCTGTTCCATGGTGTCAACTTCTGTCGAGAACAGTCTTCTGTTTTCCGGGATGTGCTGGGCTACAATGCTTGAGAGCTCATGGTAATGATCCCCCGCGGCTGGCAGATGTACAATTTCCATCATACCGTTGACAAGCTTGAGATGAACGTATGCTTTGCAACCGCTTTTCAACGTCGTTGTGATGGACTTGTGGGTTATCTGCTCGTCTTTCCGGTGAGGACGATATTCGCCTCCCTTCTTGCAAATTAGTCGCGCGGAGTTGTATGGGAAAGTTGCGGATGAGTTTTCGATGTCCGGGCGTTTCCTCCTGGGTTTACGAAGACCTGATTGGTCAATTTGCCCCAGTCTTTGACAGCTTTTACAGCTGCTTCGTAGGAAATAAAGCGGTCGCCAGTTTTGAGCAGGGTCGAGTCCATTTCAGAGGAGTAAATAGTACAAAATTTACAACTATAACCGTTACAGTACGGTAATACGAAATTAAGCACAGTAATACGAAATTACAACGGCTAATACACAGTACCGGTATAATACACAGTTTTACGTCCTAGAAATTAAATTATCCGGACAATTGACGTTGGTTGTTATGGTACTGAATTTTGCTTGCCGCATTACTGTTTATTCACAAATCGATTATATTTTTCTGATTTCGCTAACTCGCGCGCGTAGTCATTTGACTGTGCGCGAGCGTTTCTCTCGCGCGTAGTCAAACCTCTACGCGCGCGATACTCTCGCGCGTAGCCATTTCGTTAAAAAAAATAATAGCTACCCAGGAATAAATACCCCAGGAAATTTGGAAACTTCAAGCGAAACGCATTGTCCTGGGGAACAACGCAGGTAAACGGGAAAAAAACGGCGTACCTTACAGCGTTCACTGCAGTAATGATGGGTATGACATCCTGAACAGGGCAGAGGACTGCGCGTGGCGAACTCCAAAGGAAGAAAACATCCGGCACAGAGAGTCGGATAAGTGTCCCACTGGAAGGCCCATACCCACGGATCCCGCTCCAGGATGGTGTCGCCGGCTTTCACCGATGTCCCACTCATAATAATGCTTTGTATGAATGCTCGCTGAAGGTATTATATTACATAGTGCAGAGCATAACCGTAGAGGAAATTCGGTACAATATTTATCTTCTGATAGAGAGCTCTGAATGCATAGATAAACGCACGTGCGGTTTTGGCGATATGTTTTTATAATACCGCCAACGATTCTCAATAATATGATCTCGGTGCAAAGGCGAATGCATAACCGCTTGCGTTTTTGTCATATGTACAAATGGTTCTGATCCGGATTCCGGAGTGTAAAAAGGCTTGTTGCGCCGGCCAGTAACCAACCTGATGTAATCCGTATCATCGCATTCAGCCTGCGCAACCAAACTACGACTTAAAGCACCGTGAATTCGTTTAGTGAGACATATTTGCCGTATTATTGTGCTGTACATTTACTACTTATCTTCCTAGTATTGGACCCGATACCAGGTCAAGTAAATAATTCTGTGCTCTCCATACAGCAATTACAATACAATACTGGAAATCGCTGCGTAAGCATGCAACCTTTTAAATACGCGTGACTGCACAACAGTCTTCAAATTACATGCAAAATTGCACCAATTTGCATCCTTTTCACGTATAAATCGGAGAGGCCGTCTTTCGCACAATTCAAGCAAATAAATATCCAAATACCTGGCTGGGGTTTTCATTTCACAAAATGCGGTAACATCACAGTTTCAAAACAACAAGTCAAAGAAACAAAATTTCATTTAACGGTGCCGCTCCTTCCCAATTATGTTCAGAACTGTAGACGCAGTAATTTCCAGCCAGCTTTATTTGTGCCTTAGGGTTGCCATAGAAACCACTAGAACTATGCCATTAAAAGTTTCACCATTAAAAATATTGACTCACGGTAGTGTCGGCCTCGGGTAGATGCTCTCTCGTGGTGACTGCATACGGCGATACACGGAGTATTTATAGGGGGATTGGATTCAATTTTTGTGACATTCCATTTCATTTCGCTGCATTTTTGTGACGAATTCAGAAATTAATTATTAATAAAATATAATAATACGCCGGCCCATCCCAACACTTCTTCTGTAATTACATCTGCAGCTAAATAGCGTGAAATTCTATGCACGACCGGTTCGTGTGAGATAGGGTAAAAGAACCAGAGCTCCCGGTGCGGCAGACGCAATCATCACCGACAAAGTATTCCCAGAGGGAGCCTAACAACACTCCAATCTGACCACGACGTGGGCCGGCTGATTAGATTTCCCGCTTAGCGATCAACCAAGCCATTGTTAAGGTTTCGATTCTCTTAGGTTTCTTAGGCACACTGACAGGCACTGCCAAGGAAAGCGTTTTCCTTGAACGCAGCCGCACGCTACCGGCATAACATTAGCACCACAGTACAGTATATGTACTAGCGTGTATACTGCAATTGCTCTCTCAAACGCCGCATGTTAATCTTCGCTAAAACATTTTTTAATCAGTTTCGTGTAATTCATGTACGTCAGAAGCGAAAGTAATCAGGATCACAGACGCTTGATGAAAATGCTACAACAGTGACGAAAATTCTTTTTACCTGAACTATATAAACGGTTTCGAGTGCAGAAGTGCGTTATAAATTTTTGCGAGGATGAATGCGCGATTTAATAACTGCAGTTTGGCGCCGGCTAATGTTTCCTGTGTAAACTCATCATCCAACACAACGTTCACCGCTATTCCCGTTAACTGGATGAATGCGTGGGCCGCAGCCTATTTCTTCTTGTGCACGGAAGGTGCCCTTGGCAATCTCACAATCGTTTGCTTGATCTGTTGCAGCCGGAAACTGCGCTCCGGTTGTGGATTACTCATCGCTAATTGTCTCATCGCGTATTCGATATTATGTGGCTTTAGTTTTCCGATTGTCGGCAGTAGTGTTTACCGCAAGCGCATGTTCAACTGGCAAATGGACCCGCGAAACTGCAACGGTTTCCAATGGATCCAGATGGGATGCCGGTTTGCGGCGTATTTTTTTGATTTGTATATTGCCGTTAACCGTGTGGTGGCGCTGTGTTTTCCCCATAAATACCGACAGTTTTCCCGCACCCGCACAGAACTGACAATGGTCGCCATTTTATGGATGATCGCGTTGACGTATTCGGGGACCGGCTGGTTTGATGTCGGACTGCATTTTGTGATGATACCTATTGGAACAAGTAGACTGCGGCCGACAGCGTGGCCTCGTAAGGGCGGGCCTCGTTATGCACCTCCGGTGCATACGATTGTCTGTAATACTGTTGACCGTCAGCAACAACGAATTAGTTGTTTTAGTCTTTTCCTTTTGGATTTGTTAATTCAAATGGTCGCACACTTTTAGTCAGCAATTGACAGGCTCCAGGTAATTGGCAGGTAAAAACCTTGCTAGATATTTGAGGTATTGATAGAAAGTAAGCGGACCAGGAAGTGGGTGGGAAGGCACTTGTAATGTGATGTGGTTCTGAATAATCTAGGAATGCACTTCAAACTTCATGTTGACTGTATTATGGTTTCTTCGGTTTTTATCTTCAGTTTAACCAATGAACACAAATTTTACACAAAAAACAAAAAGGTAAACAAAAGAGCAAATAAACAAAACAACAAAATATTTTGAAAATTAAATTACATCATATTTTTGGCAGTTTTCCGTTTTTTCGTTTTTTATTTTACTTTAATTTTATTTGAACATTTGAACAAAAAACAACATAAAAACCACACAACAAACACCAACACAACAAACTGCTTTTTTTGGGCAGTTTTGCAATTTTATTATTTTTATTTTATTTTAATTATGACAAAATAAAAAAAAGAAAAGAAAAAAACATAACTACCAAAAAAACAAAAATAAAACCTATTTGTGTACCCATCGGTTATCCCGGCGGACCACCCGTAGGACTGTGGAGTGGACGGCGCCTGGAACTTCCTGGTCTCCTACATCAGGCTCGAACTCAAGGAGTTCGTCCATGTCCGCAGGGTGGTGCACCGGGACAACTGGTGGGTCCGCAGCACTTGTTGGCGACGCTTGCGGCTCCGGCGAACCGGCACTTGGTTTGACCGCCAGTGACCGACGGGCCGGCAGGAGAGGCGGAACAGGTTCCGGTGTCCGCCGGTGTTTGGTCGTGGAAAACACCGGTCTTCCCGGACGCCGGCGTGGACCTGATGGTGTTTCCTTGAAGTCCCGCCTCTCCTCCGCCATAACAGCCTGCTGCATTCGCCACGCAGCACGCACTCTTTCCCGGGCGCCGGTTGCGGTGGCTGACTCCGCCCGCGCGGCATTGATGTCCGCATGCCGGTCACGCCGCCGATGTCTTGGCGGCGTGCGCTGGCGGGCGTCTCGACCGACGCGGAACCGCGGCACCCGGGCGAGTGGGACCGAGCTCTCAGCAGCCGCGAACTGACCGTGCACATTTCGGTGAACGGGAGGCATCTTTTTCAATTTATAATAAATAAAAAAGATTATTATGTTGTACAACACTAAAAAATTCAAGATTCAGACGATCGTCGAAAACAAAATTTTTCGGTTTTTTCGATCGGTTTCTTCATTAAAAAATACGAGCGTTCCAGTGCAGTAAATATTTTGAACAAAACGATCGTACCGGCCGCTTTAATGAGGGAAACTTTTGGGGTGGGTCAGGATGGGCGTGGCGGACGTTCGTATCAGGTAGGTACCACCCCTTCCTAATCATATAAGTATTACAGACATAATAACGCCCACCGACCAATCCGGATCGTTGGGAGGCGGGGTTTAAGTGAAAATGGCCGGGTGGCACAAAACTACGTGTTCTATGGACGGTTTTGATCAGTTTCTCTTCCTGAGTCCAAAAAAGTAAAAGATTTTGATATCTGACCCCATGACCTTTGGTAACGGTAGCGTTACCATTGTAATATATATGGTTACCATATGTAACCAAGTCCAAAGCACCCCTATTTGACATCCCATACAGTCTGCTGTAATTGCCAAGTCGTTAGCTTCATTTGCGACGCTGTTTGCAACAGTTTGCTCTGTAAACATTGTTGGTAACCCGTTACCAACATGGTAACGGTGCCCGTTACCACTGTAGTAACGGTACCCGTTACTACAGTGATAGCGGTACCCGCTATCACTGTAGTACCAATTTTCGTTATTAAATTAGTAGCGGTGCCCGCTACTAATGTAACTACTAAAACCGGTACCAAAATGATAGCAGTATCAGCTACTACCGTTGTAACGGCACCTGTTACTGCATTGGTTACCATGACATATAGTCGGTTACCGTGTAAGTTACTTGTAACTGCGACGATTTCTTCTTTGTTTGAAATGTCACGTCTTTTGAGCAAAAATAGTATGAAATACATGTCGGTCACATCTTTTGGTTACGTGTTACCTATGTAACTTGGTTTTTGGGCGTGGCTTAATGAGTTTCGGTAATTTCAAATTTCAACGTTGTTTTTTATGGGCAAATACTATTAGTTTTTCTTCCTGAGTCAGAATTGGTAAAAGGTCACCTGGGTGACCTTTCCTAACCATAGATTCGGTGGTCACGTGACCATTTATAGTGTATAACTCTGGTTGGTGACCTTTTGAAAAAGTCTTTGCCGACTACCCAGAATGATTTGACGTGAAAAAAAGGTTCAATAGTTCGTTTTTTGGTCTGATAGTCGGTTCAGCCGGTTCATCGAAATCTCGAAATCGGGTGAACGCAATGAATCTTGAGATTTGCAAATGTAAGGTCACATTTAGTACCGGCCGCTTCAATGACGGGAACTTTTGGGGTGGGTCAGAGTGGGATTGGCGGACGCTAGTATCAGGTAGGTAGCACCCATTTCGATCTATATAAGTATTACAGACATAACAAGTAGACTGCGGCCGACAGCGTGGCCTCGTAAGTTATGCACCTCCGGTGCATACGATTGTCTGTAATACTGTAGACCGTCAGCAGGTAGCCCATTAGTCATTTTCTATTGATTTGTTCGGGAAAATATAATTTTATCCTTTAAATGATTACTCCGTGTTAATGCGTAATCGACAGATTTCTAGAAAAAACAGGACATGTTTCCGATTGAAATTCTGTGTTGATATGTTTTGGTTCCAAATATAACTGGTTGCCATTTTTATTCTGCGAACAATGTAAAATTTTTTGAATGAACACAGAATTTTGACAAAAACAAAAGGAATACAAATGAGAAAAATTACAGCAATTAAACAAAACAACGAAAGTTATCAAAATTAAACTACATAGTTTTGGCAGTATTACGTTTTTGGTTTTCTTATTTTAAACAGCAATGCGATACCTATTCGCACATCGTCGTTTGTAGGGAATGTTCCCAGACACGGAGCGGGCAACGCATTCAACCAGGCTCCAGAGTCTTTGTTTAGTGCAGCCAGCAAGACAGCCCTGTTACGTTTGTTTCCTTTTGTACTAGACATAAGAATGGCAATGTTCCGCTCAATCATTGGTGCATCCCATGCGTACTGAAACTTCCGAGTGATATCTCCTGGGATCTCAAAGTGCATACGCTGTAGCCGTTTTTTCGATTGGTTTCTCTATTAAAAAATATGAGCACTATAATTGAGTTATTGTTTTGAATACAACGATTGGCCAAGCAGTATTCGTTTAGTATAAAGCAACCTAGTGGTTATGTATCAAGTAATGCAGCGACGTACTTCGCAGTATATCAGTATTACTGACATAAGAAGTATTTTCTTTGGCTGAATTAAACAACTACCTCTATTCGTTTGACAGATTCGCACAGGTAACGTGTTGGTAACGAGTT